ACAAGCCTGAAAAATAAGGAACCAGAGATGTCAATTTGTAAATGATGATACCTGCAAAGCAAAAGGAAGGAATAAATGAAATAGTTACAGAACTTCCAAATGGAGAGGAAATCAAGAGTATATCATGATAGAATGGACTGCTTTAAGCTTGGAAAGATAATAAATTACAGGTTAACTTCAAGGAAAATGAATAAGCCTTCTCACCAAAACAAGTAAGAAGAAAACCATACCATCTCTGTAAACACTAAAACAATAGCAACAAAGGTAATCATTGCATAATCTATAAACAAAATTAAAATATAGAAAAATATATTCAACAAGGAAACTATCGACACCACACACAAAAAAACAACAGCAAAATGACAACAGTAAATGCATACCTATTGATAATTGCACTGATTATAAGTGGATTAAATACATCAGTCAAAGGACAGAGAGTAGTAGAATGCATAAGAAAACATGATCCATCAATATGTTGTCTAGAAGATATATACCTTAGACATAAAGACAAAAAAGTAAGCTAAAATCAAAGGGTGAAAAAGCATATAGTAAGCAAATGGCAACCAAAAAAGAGCAGGAGATGCAATATTAATTTCTGATAATATAGACTATAAGAGAAAAGTCACCATAAGAAACAGGAAGGATATTATATAATTATTAAAGGGAATATTGAACAAGAGGACTTAATCATAAAAATATTTACACACCCAATGAAGAAGCCTCAAAATACATATGTCAAACTTTAACAGAATTGAATAGAGAAACAGACAACTACAACATAATAGTGGAATATTGAATATACCACTTTTGATGAAGCACAGAACAACTAGAAAAAAGCTCAACAGACAGAAGATCTAAAAAACACAATCGACTAGCTAGACTTTAAAGATGTATAGAACATGCTACCCAACAACAACACAATATACATTCTTTTCCAGTGCCCATGGAGCATTCCACAGAATAGACCATTTGCTAGGCCACAAGAAACAATAAGGGAAAAAAATACATGGAAATGGAATAACACCCTGCTTAAAAATATTGGGTAATAGAAGAAATAAAAAATGAAATAAAGAATAATTCCTTGAATCAAATGAGAATGAAAACACAACATACCCAAATCTTTGGAACACAGAAAAAGTAGTGCTTAAAAGACAATTTATAGCAATAAATTCTCATATCAAAAAAAGAAAAAAGAACCAAAATCAACACCTTGACCCAACATCTCCAACAACTAGAAAAAGAACAGCCCCAAAATGCTCATAGTCAGCACACACACACACACACAAAAACATATTGCCATTGAGTTGATTCCAACTCATAGCGACGCCCATTGGGTTTCTGAGGTGGTAAATCTTTACTGAAGTAGATGGGTTGCCCAGTCTTCCTTCTCTGGAGTGGCTGGTGGGTTTGAACTG